GGTTTTGGGTGGTTTTTTGGTTTACGAATACAAGTAACCGCTTAAGGGGGTTCCCCACCTGGTCCCCATCTTGGAGGGAAAGCACGCCCTAACCCCTTGTCAGTTGCCAAAATAACCGTTTAGATTTCCCACTGGAGGAGTCCTTACTGGTTGCCCAAAGTACCACTTTCAGTTCTACTTGTTGTAACTCTTGGTTAAGGCTTACGTTCAATGTCCTTGCTTAAGTCAGCCTGTTCTCTTGAGTTCACTGTCCTTACTTGTTCAGTGTCCTTACTTGTTCAGTGTCCTTACTTGTTCAGTGTCCTTACTTGTTCAGTATCCTTACTTGTTCAGTGTCCTTACTTGTTCAGTGTCCTTACTTGTTCAGTATCCTTACTTGTTCATGTCCATTACTTTCAGTGTCCTACTTGTTCAGTATCCTTTACTTGTTCAGTGTCCTTACTTTCAGTGTCCTTACTGTTCACTGTCCTTATTTGGGTTCAGTATCCTTACTTGTTCAGTGTCCTTACTTTTTCAGTGTCCTTACTTGTTCAGTATCCTTACTTGTTCAGTATCCTTACTTGTTCAGTGTCCTTACTTGTTCAGTATCCTTACTTGTTCAGTGTCCTTACTTGTTCAGTATCCTTACTTGTTCAGTGTCCTTACTTGTTCAGTATCCTTACTTATTCAGTATCCTTACTTGTTCAGTGTCCTTACTTGTTCAGTATCCTTACTTGTTCAGTGTCCTTTACTTGTTCAGAAATTCCTTACTTGTTCAGTGTCCTTACTTGTTCAGTTCCTTACTTGTTCAGTGTCCTTACTTGTTCAGTTATCTCTTACTTGTTCAGTGTCCTTACTTGTTCAGTATCCTTACTTGTTCAGTATCCTTACTTGTTCAGTGTCCTTACTTGTTCAGTGTCCTTACTTGTTCAGTATCCTTACTTGTTCAGTGTCCTTACTTGTTCAGTGTCCTATTTGTTCAGTATCCTTACTGTTCAGTATCCTTACTTGTTCAGTATCCTTACTTGTTCAGTATCCTTACTTGTTCAGTATCCTTATTTTCAGTACTTACTTGTTCAGTATCCTTACTTGTTCAGTATCCTTACTTGTTCAGTATCCTTACTTGTTCAGTATCCTTACTTGTTCAGTGTCCTTACTTGTTCAGTATCCTTACTTGTTCAGTGTCCTTACTTGTTCAGTGTCCTTACTTGTTCAGTATCCTTACTTGTTCAGTGTCCTTACTTGTTCAGTATCCTTACTTGTTCAGTATCCTTACTTGTTCAGTGTCCTTACTTGTTCAGTATCCTTACTTGGTTACTATCCTTACTTGCTCACTATACTTGTTCACTATCCTCACTTGTTCACTAACCTGACTTGTTCACTAGCCTGACTTGTTCACTATCCTTACTTGTTCACTATCCTTACTTGTTCACAAGCCTGACTTATTCACTAGCCTGACTTGTTCACTAGCCTGACTTGTTCACTAGCCTGACTTGTTCACTAGCCTGACTTGTTCACTAGCCTGACTTGTTCACTAACCTGACTTGTTCACTAACCTGACTTGTTCACTAACCTGACTTGTTCACTATCCTGACTTGTTCACTAACCTGACTTGTTCACTAACCTGACTTGTTCACTAGCATGACTTGTTCACTAGCCTGACTTGTTCACTAGCCTGACTTGTTCACTAGCCTGACTTGTTCACTATCCTAACTTGTTCACTATCCTAACTTGTTCACTATCCTAACTTGTTCACTATCCTGACTTGTTCACAAACCTGACTTGTTCACTATCCTAACTTGTTCACAAGCCTGACTTGTTCACTATCCTGACTTGTTCACAAGCCTGACTTGTTCACTATCCTGACTTGTTCACTATCCTGACTTGTTCACTAATCTGACTTGTTCACTAGCCTGACTTGTTCACTATTCTGACTTGTTCACTAATCTGACTTGTTCACTATCCTGTCTTGTTCACTATCCTGACTTGTTCACTATCCTGACTTGTTCACTATCCTGACTTGTTCACTATCCTGACTTGTTCACTATCCTAACTTGTTCACAAGCCTGACTTGTTCACTATCCTAACTTGTTCACGATCCTGACTTGTTCACGATCCTGACTTGTTCACGATCCTGACTTGTTCACGATCCTGACTTGTTCACAAGCCTGACTTGTTCACAAGCCTGACTTGTTCACAAGCCTGACTTGTTCACAAGCCTGACTTGTTCACTATCCTGACTTGTTCACTATCCTGACTTGTTCACAAGCCTGACTTGTTCACAAGCCTGACTTGTTCACAAGCGTGACTTGTTCACTTTCCTGACTTTTAACTTTCCTGAGTTTTCACTATCCTGACTTATTCACTATCTCGACAGAGTTCACTATCACTTGCTCACTATCTGGTCTTTGTTCGCTGTGTGGGACTGAAACACGACTGCATACCATTATAACACCTTCATTGAAGACGTGTCGGTCCACGGACCTTGACCACTTCTAATAAGGTATAGTGAATGAAGATGGTCCCTGGACCGCTAATTCTTCCCTGAACCTCGTCAACGTGTTCAAATTAAAGTCATCTCTGTTCATCATCTTCAGGGAAGTTTGCAAATTGATTTGAGTTTGGGTCACTGCGCGATCCTAAAAATTTATTCCCGTATTCCACAAGCCTAGCCCCCTCTCTACCTCGGTGTACGCACAAGCCTAGCCCCCCTCTACCTTAGTGTACACATAAGCCAGCCCCCTCTACCTCGGTGTACACACAAGCCTAGCCCCCTCTACCTTAGTGTACACACAAGCCTAGCCCCCCTCTACCTCAGTGT